TAGTGTTGGAAGGAGCAGGTGAGGAAGGGGTGGGAAGTGGCAAGGAGAAGAGAGTGGTACAAGGGAGCGGTGAAATGCGGAATGAGGTTGCAGGGTTCACGATAGGTGGAATGGCACAGGATTGTGATGATTTGACTCTAGCACAGCTCCAGCAGAAGCAGCAGCAGCAGCAGCAGCAGCAGCAGCAGCAGCAGCAGCAGCAGCAGCAGCAGCACGAGATGCAGACGAAGCAGCAGCAGCGGCGGCAGCGGCAGGAGGAGCAGCAGAACGAGGCATGGACACAGCAGCAGCAGCAGAAGCGCGTGAATCATTCTGCAACCGTGCCCCCTTACACAGCAGCATCCCCAGGGCGACCGCCACGGTCAATGCAGTCAACGCAAGTCAACAGCCAGCGTGCACAGCACAGCTCAGATGAATTTGGTCTGTTCAGTGCTGAGTCAGCTGGCAGTCCAGCCTGGTCACTGAAACCAGCTGGCGTCTCTGCCACGTCATCAGCTGCAAGGACACAGCCAATCACCCAAGCCCAGCTCAGCTCACGAACCAGATTGCACACATTGTCTGCATCAGCCCTCGCCTCACACACGGTCATGCCTGCAACAGGCGCAGCAGCATCCGTTATAGGCACAGCAGCACCCGTTATAGGCACAGCACTCCCTGCTCCCACTACAGTCTGTAGAGAGAACCTTTCAAGTCAAGCTGTCGGATCGAACCTGAAGGCTGTTTCCCCCACCGAACCAGTCACAGGCTCTTCTCCCCAAGCCGCAGTTGCGTCCCCACTCAAACCAGCAGGCGTTTCGACTTTGACCATCAAGCACGCTGTAAGAGCAGCACTGGTCTCTTCTCCCATCAGAGAAAGGCACAGCCCATGCCGCGAAGTGGGTGCAGGGCCCCTGCATGATCTGGATCTGATTGTTCCTGCCAAGAGGCAACGCAGCAAGGCAAAATATCAGCTGTCGCCAGTGAATGGAGGGGTGGCATCGGTGGCAACTGTAGCAGCTGCAACAGCTGCACCAGCTGTAGCAGCAGCAACAGCTCCACCAGGTGTAGCAGCTGTAGCAGCAGTTTCATCCCAGTCACCGTTCCCGTCGCCATTGTCATCGCCAGCTGCAGCCACAACAGCAACAGCAACTTCAGAAGCAGCAGGGTTGCCTGAAGGGGTTGGGGAAGCCGCGGGAGGTTTCACACCTGCGGTAGTGGACCAGAGAAACGCTCATGTAACCAATGGTGGAGCAGAGAACGTTACGCACTCACCACTCCCCTCCGAATTTCACACCCCACAGCCGCATCCTTCTCGTGGTTTCTTTTCCCCACCCCATTCGTCGTCTGTGAACTCAGGGGGTTCCAGTGCTTGGATGATTGGGGAGGACGGGAGAGGGGAGGACGAGAGGGGCCTGTTGGTGATAATAATACGGGCGGCGAAACAGGAGATGGTGGTAAAGTCACAACAAGGGTTGGGTCTGTAGGTGCTGTGAAGTCTGTCGCATGGATGGACCAACATGGGCCTTTTGAAGCTGTGCCGAGGAATGGTGGAGTATTGGCATTGGATGACAATATGTGTGCTGCACCTGTAAGGGGGTTCGATGCAGAGGGGTCTTCCTTGGTAGGGGAAGTTGCAAGTGTCCCGGTGCGGAAAGTTAGGACGAAGAGACTTCCAGGTTCTTAGGAAGGACATGGTTCACTTGTTTTCTAGGAAGTGTAGTAGTTGTAGGTGCCTGATAAAATGTGTGCGTTGTGCACATAAAAGTATTTGAGCTCTCAAGACAGAAGCGAATCACCTTGTAGGATATCGCTGACAGCCACACTTTGTACACCGACCTGAAGAGCTTCAGCAACCCTTCGATGAAAAATACCTGCACCCAAGCCTTTCGATCCAAGCCCTCCATCGTATCTCTTTCAACCCGAGCGATAGGCTTCGGCTGCGGTGATTGGTTCGGTGGGGAAGTGGGGAAACAAACCAACCTGACAGCAACGGACCGAACGGAACCTTGGCGGGCGTTCTGTCTGTTCCACACACACACACACACACTTCCGTCCGCCCCACCACTTCCGCTTCCTGGTCTGCTCTGCCACTGCCGCCTAGCTGTTGAACTACTGTACCAAACCAACCAGCCACAAAAAATCTTCTGTGCCGCTGGTGGTATGGCATCACATTCGCACGACCATACACATTCATGGTCGGTGTCACTAAGCGGAACCCTAATGTACCAACCGTCTAGGTGATTCTTATTCTTTCTCCGTTGATTTGCCGTGCTGGCCGCTAGTGAATGCAACGAAGCACAAGAGTTTCTTAGAGTGTGAGTGAGACTCAACGTTCAGCTAAATGTGAATTCAGGGTTAGTAGCGAGCGAATGCACGTTCAAAGTAGCAAGCTTTTGGACTCCAAGTATGAATGGCGTAACTATCCATGACCTTTTGACGTAATCCAAGTATCCCATGCTAAGATAGTGACGGTTGGTTCCTAGTCGCAAAACGCGCGTTAGTATAGTGAATTGAACTGCACGAGTTAACTCCACGGTTCCCGGCGCTTCCACGCGAAAGCAGGACAGTTCTCAGCTCCGCTCCGTCTCAATATAAACTGTCGCATTTCCCGTTCTGAACCTTTTCAATCCAGTCGTAGACTATCGCAATCCCATACTTAGTTAGCGTTTCTAACGTACGGCGTGGTTTACGCTCCCCTCTTTCGCACCTTAACTCAGCCACACCGGATCATCGTGCCTGAGCTTAGTCGCAGCCTGTCGCAACTTAGTTCAGTTGCTGGTTTCGCATCGTACCCACCTGCAGCAGTTAAGCACGCCTTAACCTAACGACACGCGTTGCATGCACGCACTTACTGACCGAAAGTGCAGACCTAGTGCCTGTGTCCCATCGTCCCATTACGATGTCTTTTGATTATACGCGAGGAACGAGAACGTTGCTGTTACTCAATCAATTATAGTGGGATTATGAAGATATCTAGCATAGCGCAGTCACAGGCAGGGGACGCTGCTGTGAGAGCCTTTTAGTTATAATGGGGATCCCTTTAACCGAGCCACACACAGAGAACGCTGCTTCGGAAGCTCTAGGTCCAAGTTCAGCAGCAGACGTAGGCTCGGAAAAAGCAGTTCCAGGCTCGGAACGTTCAGGTTCGGACCCTGCAGGTTTGGACCCAAGCAGCGGCAGTTTGAGCGGCTTCAATAGCTTTGCAAGAAGCGCCGGCAGTGCGGTTGGGAGCGGTAGCGTTGGAGGGAGTATTCCTGAACTCGGGACTGGCAGCGGAACTGGGAGTGGGCCCGGTAGCGGTAGCAGCCAAGGCTTACACGAAATAACGGAGCAGACAATAACGGATCCAGTGAACGGTGGAGGGAAACGAGCGGGCGGCAGAGTAGAGCTGTCACCCTTTGCGGTACATGAAAACGACAAGAACAGCAATCACAATCATTCCAATCCAAAGCAGTTGAAATTCCAGGGGCGGAGCAACAGTAACACCAGCAGCAGCGGCAGTAGCCAGGGTAGCGGGTTGTGGAATAACGGATCGCATTCGCCTGTGTTAGTGCGCATGTCCAAGCGAGAGAGGGTGATGGATCTTCTGGGAATGCTCAGTGCGAGGCGGTTCTGCCGAATGGGGTTTGCAGAGCATGATGAGGATGATGTTGTTGCTGCTGCTGATGCTGATGATGGTGGTGCTGGTGGTGGTGGTGGGAGTGGTGAGAGGGAGGGAGTGGAGGATGGGGAGGAGGTGGAAGGGAAGAGGAGGCGGAGGAGGAGCAAGGCCTGGCAAACGGTTCGGAGCGGTGCTGCTGGATGCTTCTCGGTGCCGCTTTTGGAGGAGGGGCGTGCGAGGGCATCTGATGGTAATGGGGGGGACGCTGGTGGCGGGAAGGAGAAGAAACCATGGCGGCATGGGAAGAGGGGCAAGGAGGGGCTGAGAACGCCCAAGGAGAAGGGCCGAGGAGGAGGAGGGAGCAAGGCGGAGGAGGAAGGGGGGAGGGAGGGGGATGGATGGCTGATGAGGAAGGGCGGAGGAAGGTTCCTCTTGGACTCACTGAAGTCCCCCGTTGTTATCACTCGCCTCACCATGATGGTATGATGTACTGCGTGGAGTGGAACAGTCCCCACTCTCGTTATGGTCAGTTGGTTCTATGTGCAAGCACACGTGCGTAATTGTCTGCAACACACGACACAGCGCGGTGCTCTTCCGTTCCGTCTTATCCTCCCGTCTTCATCCCTACCCCCCCACCCCTCCCCCCTTCCCCCCCTCTCTGCCCCATGTTGTCCTGCAGGCGCTGCTCGTGATAGTCACGGCGCTGCTCGTTATATGTGTGAGCACGTGGTGTGTGATTGCCTGCAAGACGATGCATGCAGTGCTCTTCCGTTCTGTCTTCTCCTCCCCACTGCCTCCCCCTCCCGCGCCACCCAACCCCACCCCGTGTCGTGTCCCCCCCCAGGCGCTGCTCGTTATAGTCACAGTGGTGCTCTGTGTGAGCACGTGGTATGCGGCGGGCAAGATGTACAGCGACTCCCTCGATGACATCTCCACACAGTAAGCTCTTCAATGCTCTGTTTCTGTTTCTGTTTTTGGTTTTGTTTTTTTTTTTTTTGTCTGTTTCTTTCTTTCTTTGTTTGTTTGTTTGTTTGTTCTTTGCCTTTGTATTTGTTTTGCTTTTCACTGGATTTACTGTAGCTGCGCAGCCGCACGATGAGCAGAGGCACGCTGTGAATCGGACGGGGCGAGCGAGCCGGGGGGGAGGCAAGCTGGGGGGATATGATATGACCTCGCAATGAGCCTGTCCTGACCGGCCAGCTCTGACTTTTGGGTCGACTCATTAATCACCTTGAGCCAGGAGAGGGGGGGGCGAGTGGGGTGGGGATATGAGCTTGCAATGTGCTGGTCCGGCCGGCTCTGTTTCTTCCTTCCAGCCATTAGTAGCCGAGACGTTATTCTCCACTCCATACCTTCCTCTTCCACGTTATCTCTGTGGTGGTGAAGATATGAAGTCGACTCAAAATCGTAATCACGGCTCATGCTCGTCCTCCCCTATCACATCACCGTCTGCCACATCCCTGCGGATATGGTGTTTCACGGCTGCACTGGTGGATGAGATGAGATGGGTGGATGAGATGAGATGAGTGGATGAGATGAGATGAATGCTGAGAAGAAGTGAGTTGACCTTGAGAGAGTCTACAACAGCCAATGAGTTGCCTACCGCTCTCAACTCAACCCCTCATGCAGGCTGCGGCACAAGTCCCTGGTGCGAGCAGGGACCAGACCAGCAGCAGTTCCTGCTCTATATCAACCGCCACCATCTCGTGCTGCTCGCGTTCCACCCACCCCCCCTTGGCCGGCCTCCCTAGTCTTTGCCCTCTCTTCATCCCTCTCTCCTCCCGCGCCCCTCACCTCTCCCTTCTCGTTTTTCCCAGGCTGCGGCACAAGTCTACATCAACCGCCACCGCCACGTGCTGCTCGCCTTCGCCTCTGCTTCTCATTCACTCTCCCCTATCTTTCCCACTCTCCTCTCACCGCTCTCCACCGCCCTCCAACGCTCTCCACATTTGGCACCCCCTCTACATCGCTCTCAACCCCTGCAGGCTGCGGCAGAAGTCCCTGGTGTGGGTGCACCAGCAGTTCCTGTCAACCGCGACCGTGTCCGCGACGTGCTGCTCGCCTTCGCCTCCACTTCTCATTCACTCGGTGCCCTTCCCGAACCCCCCTGCACTGCACCGCTCTGAAATTCTGCAGGTTGCGGCAAAAGTCTCTAGTCCGGGTGCACCAGCAGTTTCTGCTCTACATCAACCGCGATCGCGATGTGCTGCTGGCCTTCGCCTCCACTTCTCATTCACTCCCCCCTCTTCCCGATCCCCCCTCCACTGCTCTCCACCGCTTCCCACCCGCTCTCCACCACCCCCCACTGACCTCCACCGCTCTCAACCCCTGCAGGCTGCGGCAGAAGTCTCTAGTTCGGGTGCACCAGCAGTTTCTGCTCTACATCAACCGTGACCGCGACGTGCTGCTGGCCTTCGCCTCCGTGGTGGAGAATCTGCTGGCGCAGACCAACACGTCGGTCGTGGGGCTTGGGTACGCGCAGCAGCAGGTGCGTTCAATGGTAGCTGTGTGCGTTGAAGGGCCAGGTGTGTGTGTCGGTGAGCGTGACGTCTGGTGTTGTTGCCGTGCTGCTTGACGTCTGGTGCTGTTGCCGTGCTGCTTGCCTATTCTTTCTTCCTGTCTCTTTCCTTCCCTCCCCCGCAGGTCGCCCCTCTGGCGTGGTCAGGTCATTCTTCCAGTCGTCCCTTCCGCGCCTCACCCTCCTCTCAACTGCTTCCCTCTACGACTGTATCCTCACTCTCTTGCTCAACCCAATCCTTCCTCTCTGGTCCAACCATCCCTCTTCTTGCCCAACCCCCTGCCCCTCCCCCCGCAGATCGCCCCTTCTTGCCCAACCCCCTGTCCCCCCCCCCCCCCCCCCCCCAGATCGCCCCTCTAGCATGGTCATTCTTCCAGTCATCTCCCCCGCGCCTCACTCTGCTCAGCTACTTCTCCCACTTCGGCTGCCTCGTCTCCTCTCCGACTCGCTCCCTTAAATCCCGCTCTCTCCGTCCCTTGCTTTTCCCTGCTCCTTCTCCCCTGTCTCTGCCACCCACCCACGCTCTCGCAGATCGCCCCTCTAGCATGGTCATTCTTCCAGTCGTCCCTCCCGCGCCTCACAATCCTCGGCTACTTCTCCCAGTTCGGATGCCTTGTCTCCTACTCTCAAACCGACCCTGTCATCCAGTCGTTCTCAGCCACCCCTGGCGGCGGCGCCGTGTCGCAGGTCTACACAAAGAATCTTACTGACATCACAGGTGCGTGCGTGAATTGAATATAGCACAGAGGGCACAGGGTGAGTGAACATGAATGCATGACACGAGCTGACTTTTAAGTTGAATCAAAATTCCCCTGGTGGTGCCGTGTCCCAGGTCTACACAAAGAACCTCACCGATATCACAGGTGCGTCTAGACCGATATCACAGGTGTGCCTGACTCGTATGACAGGTGAGTGAATATTAGAGGTCCATAGAGTACAAAGGGGTAAGCAGAACAGGTACGGGAGGTGTGGTGGGGGGGGGAGGTGCGCGGCTCTGCTCCCTCCCACTTCGGCTGCCTCCTCTCCTCTCCTACCCCCAAACTGACCTCCTCACCCAGTCGTTCTCTGCTACCCCCAAACTGACCTCCCTCCTCACCCAGTCGTTCTCTGCTACCCCTGGGAGCGCCGTGTTGCAGGTCTACACAATATTCTCACCGATTCCCCCTTCCCCCTTCCCCTTCCCCATTCCCCATTCCCCATTCCCCATTCCCCATTCCCCATTCCCCTTCCCCATTCCCCATTCCCCATTCCCCTTCCCCATTCCCCATTCCCCATTCCCCTTCCCCATTCCCCATTCCCCATTCCCCTTCCCCATTCCCCTTCCCCATTCCCCTTCCCCATTCCCCATTCCCCTTCCCCATTCCCCATTCCCCATTCCCCTTCCCCATTCCCCTTCCCCATCACATTCCGTTCCCCTGCCCCCATCCCATTCCACTACCCCTTCCCCCCACCACCCCCCCCCCCCCCCCTGCCCCACCTGTGCGAACAGGCCGCTGGTACATCCAGGCAGTCAACACCTCCACTGGATCCCCCCTCCCCGAGCCGCCACCCCCGAAACTTCACGCCAGTGCCCATTGGGTCTCCAACCATCTATGACCAAGTTGCTAGTGGCGCCCCTGGCTTGTTGCTCTGGTCCTTCAACGCCGTTCAGAACCTCTCTGGACCGCTCTTGCTCGCTTCTGTGGCTGTGAGGGGCGCGGAGCAGAGGAAAGCGATTGGGCTGGACGTGGGTGGGGATGAGTGGTGGGATGTGGGTGCGGGAGTGGGGGTGAAAGGGGTGGTGGGGAGTGCGGGAGGGAGTGCGGGAGGGAGTGCGGGAGGGAGTGCGGGAGGGAGTGCGGGAGGGAGTGCGGGAGGGAGTGCGGGAGGGAGTGCGGGAGGGAGTGGGAAGGGAGGGGGTTGGGAGGGGTTGGAGGGGCTACGAAGGTTGATGCAACAGTTCAAGGAGGTGATGCTCTGGGGAATGGGGATTGGGATGGGAATGGGGATAGGGACAGGGATGGGGTTGCCGGTGGGGATGGGGATGGGGATGGGGATGGGGATGGGGGTGGTGAGGGCGATGGGTTGGTGGCAAGGGAGCTATTATCACTGCCAGAATCCACCACCCCGATTCCACCCCAATTCCACCCTCATTTCCATTTGCACTCCCAGCGACCTGCCCACCACCTGGCCTCAGCTGCTGCTGTTGCTGCTGCTGCCAGTGCCACTGCTGCTACTGCTGCTGCTACTGCTGGCAGTGCTGGGGCAGGTAGGCTTGCGTCAGCATCGGCATCAGCAGCTGCTGCAGCAGCTGATTCCACCTCCTCCCCCTTCTCCAACACCTCCTCTCCAACTTCCACTTCCTCCCCATCCTCGTCCCCGTCCCCCACCTCCTCTGCCTCGCCCTCCCTCACCCTCAATCCCACCACCACCACTGCCACCACCACTGCCACGACCACTGCCACCACCGCCGCCACCACTGCCACCACCGCCGCCACCCCTGCTGCTGCTGCTGCTGCTGCCGTCCCAGCCATCACGGGCATAGTGACGCTGGGGTCGTCTACAGGCACAGTGAACCGCTACCTGGGTCTTTCAGGGACGGACAACAGCGTCATGTACATCTGCAGCAGCGATGGGTTTCTTGTGGCCACCTCCACCAACTCCGCCACCACCGCGATGGAAACCCCGTCTGGGAGTGGTGGTTCGGCCGCAAGCTCAGGCTCGGGAGGTGGTTCGGCTGCAAGCTCAGGCTCGGGAGGTGGTTCGGCTGCAAGCTCAGGCTCGGGAGGTGGAGCGGGGATGGGGGGGAATTCAACAGGGGGAGGCACAGGGGCGACGGGGGGTAAGGGGGGGACGGGTCAGCAGCAGGGGGGACCGCCGCCGCTGCCGGAGGGGTTTGAAGGGCCGGGGGCCGGGCAGGCGATGCCAATGCTGGTGAATGCGACGCAGGTGTCAGATGCGGTGATAGCCGATACAGCGCGGTACCTGGAGGCGCGGTTTGGGCTGCCGGCGCTGGTGGCGGGGAACTACTCGGTGGGGGGAGTGATGGTGAACGGAGAGGAGTGCTTCGTCAGTACCATGGCGCTCAGCTTTGACAACCTCAAGATGGTGAGGCTTGATATGGCTTGGTGTGTGTATCTATACTATACACAAACGTTGGGGGCTGGGAGGAGAGGAGGTCTTGGTGCTAATGGGTCTCAACTCAACACAACGACTCAAAAATCGACTTATCACACACAGCTGGGAGGAGAGGAGGTACCTACAGCTGAGCCGTGTTGGTGGTGCACCTACAGACGCCCTCTCCTGTCCATGTCTATCTCTCCTCCTCCCCATTCCTCCCCCAACCCCCCCTTTCCCTTACCCCCTTCCTCTCCTGTACCCCACCCACCCAGTACCTGGCGATCATCATGCCGCGTGCGTCCATCACAGCATCAATCGAGTCCAAGCAGCGCATCATGGTCATCGTCACCACGGCAGTCGCGCTCTGCCTGTTGCTCATCGGCTGGGCCGTGGTGATCTTCCTCACTCTCTATGTGGACACGCGCATGCGTCCCAAGGAGGAGCTACAACGGCAAATGGAGGAGACACAGAGGGCGCAGGCTGCTTCTGAAGTGAAGAGCCAGTTCCTGGCTAATATCTCCCACGACCTCCGCACGCCAATGGCCGGGTGAGTCAACTGTCAAGGGCTGGGCAACACACTCTCTTCTTCCTCACGCTCTACGTGAACGTTTTGAGTTGACTCAAAAGTCACCTGGGCGGCCATGGTGATCTTCCTCGCACTCTACGTGGACACGCTCATGCGCCCCGAGGAGGAGCTGCAGCGCCAGATGTTTTTTCAATCGTCCCAAACCCCTCGCCTCCCCTACCCCCCGCCCCCCTCCCCCTCTCCATTCCCTCGCCCTTATTCAGCATCTTGGGTCTGTTGGACATAATGCTGTGCGACCACCTCTCATCGGAGCAGGAGGCCAATCTGCGCCAGATGAAGTCATGCTGTGCCTCCCTCCTCGGGCTCCTCAACAACCTGCTCGACCTCGCCAAGGTGCGAGCCATTGCCACCTCCTTGTTCTCCTTCCTTTTTCGCTTGCTATTGAATAGGCTAGGCATGAACACGGTCCGAACCTGAACCTGAGTCGTGTTGAGTTGAATCGGCCAAAAGAATGAATCGAGCTCAAAGATCCGCAATTTTTATGTTCGCTGCTCTTGAACGGTTGCGTGCGGAACCGATTGGTGTTTAGATTGATCGAGTCTTCACCATAGTCACATTACTTGACGTGATTTTGTGAGTCTCGTAAATGACAAAAGGTTTCAATTTGTGCGCCATCTGTGGTGCTATCAATGTGTGTGTGCGCGCGCACGTGCACACGTGTATCACAGGTGGAGGCAGGCAAGATGCAGTTAGAAGTGCTCGAGTTGACATTGTGGGCGAGCTGGAGTCGCTGGTGGACATGTTCAGCGTGCTAATTCCCTCATTCTTATGATGTTCCTTTGTCTTTGCGCATGGATCACAGGTGGAGGCGGGCAAGATGCAGCTGGAGGTGTTAGAGTTTGACATAGTGGGCGAGCTCGAGTCGCTGGTGGACATGTTCAGCGTGCAGGGGCTCAGCAACGGCACTGAGATCGCCCTTGATCTCTCTGACGACATCGATCGGACGGTCAAGGGCGATCCATCTCGCGTCAGACAGGTACGGCCCTGCCATGTGTCTTGCTTGCGCCTTCCACGTTCCGCTTGCGCCCCTTCCCACTTTCCCTCTCCCTCTCCCTCTCCCTCTCCCTCTCCCTCACCCTCTCCCTCTCCCTCTCCCTCTCCCTCTCTCCCTCTCCCTCTCCCTCTCCCTTCCCTTTCCCTCTCCCTCTCCCTTTCCCTCTCCCTCTCCCTCTCCCTCTCCCTTTCCCTCTCCCTCTCCCTCTCCCTCTCCCTCTCCCTCTCCCTCTCCCTCTCCCTCTCCTCTCCTCTCCCTCTCCCTCTCCCTCTCCCTCCCCTCTCCCTCTCCCTTCCCTTTCCATCTCCCTCTCCCTCTCCCTTTCCCTCTCCCTTTCCCTCTCCCTCTCCCTCTCCCTTTCCCTCTCCCTCTCCCTTTCCCTCTCCCTCTCCCTCTCCCTTTTTCCCTCTCCCTCTCCCTCTCCCTTTCCCTTTCCCTCTCCCTCTCCCTTTCCCTCTCCCTCTCCCTTGCCTTTCCTCTCAGGTGCTTGCGAATCTACTCAGCAACGCGTGCAAGTTCACCAAGAACGGGCAGGTGGTGGTGACCTGGCTTATAGACAGACCCCTCTTCCTCCTCGTTCCCACCCCGGCCCCTCCCACTCCCCCTCTCTTCCCTTCCCACAACTCGTGCCTTTCTTTCTTCAGGTGTTTGCGAATCTGCTCAGCAACGCGTGCAAGTTCACCAAGAACGGCCAGGTGGTGGTGAGGGGGTGGGTGAGGGACAGACCGCCCCCGCAGCTGGCAAAGCAGGACCTCTCCATCCCGGGAGAGAAGGGAAAGTGAGTGGGGTTGGGGAGGGGGAGAGGGGTGGCGGAATAAATGCGGTGGGAGAAGGGTTGGAGGAGGAGAGAGGGGTTGGCGGTGGGGAGGGGGGGAAGGAGAAGGGGGGGCGGTGAATCAAGAAGAGTAGTAGAGCCTCTCATTTCCGCTTACTCTTCTTCCTGCTTTCCCATTCCTTGCCTTCCTCTCCTTCCCTCTCCCTCCCTTTCCTTCCCTCCAACCCCTTTCCCCCCAGCAGCAGGCGGCACAGCAGGTCCAAGAGCCGTGATGTGGACAATGCAGCAGCAGAGGCTGCAGGGGGAATGGGCGGGGGGATGGTCGGAGGAGCAGCAGCGGAGCAGCAGGGTGTGGGGGGAAAGGGGCGGCGCACCGTGACGTTTATGTTTGAGGTGGATGATACGGGGCCAGGCATTCCGGTGCACAAGAGGGAGTCTATTTTTGAGAACTTCCAACAGGCTGATGTGTCCACTGCCAGGACACATGGTGGCACAGGTGGGATGCAGTGCGGTGGGGTGGGGTGGGGTGGGTTGGGGTGCGGTGGGGTGGTGGGAGGGGAGGCACAGTGGCGTTTATGTTTGAGGTGGATGACACGGGGCCAGGCATTCCGGTGCACAAGCGAGAAACTATTTTTGAGAATTTCCAACAAGCAGACGTTTCCGCTGCCCGCACGCATGGTGGCACAGGTGAGGTGTTGTTGGAGTGGGGTGGGGTGGGGTGGGGTGGGGTGGGGTGGGGTAGGGTGGGGTGGGGTGGGATGGGGTGGGGTGGAATGGAGTGGAGTGGGGTGAGGTGGGGTGGGGTGGGGTGAAGTTTTGACATGTTTGAGGTGGATGACACGGGGCCGGATGTCTCCACTGCCAGGATTCATGGTGGCACAGGCGGGGTGTGGTGTGGTTGGGGTGAGGTGGGATGAGGTGGAGGTGGGTGGAATTTGCACCATTTCAACCTTCGCACCACCTTCCCACCCTGCCAGCCACCTTCCCGCTCCCATACACCTCTTTTCTGTGTTAGGTCTTGGCCTGGGAATCGTCACCGCCCTGATCAGCCACCCACACCACACTATTGCTCACTACTGCCCCCCTTTCCCCTCCCCGTTCCTGTCCCCCACCATCTCCCTGCCCCTCCCTCCCCTCCCATGTGTGTCTTTACTGTGTCAGGGCTCGGTTTGGGAATCGTACGCTCCCTGGTAAGCCACCCCATACGTTTTCTCCCCCCCTTCCATCCCCAACTCCTTCCCCTTCCCCTCTTCCTCTTCCCCTCTTCCCCTTCCCCTTCCCCTTCCCCTTCCCCTTCCCCTCCCTTCCCTTCCCCACCCTTATCCCCACACCTTTTTCCATTTCTGCTTGCGTACATCCTCCCAGCTTTCTCTTGTAAGTTTTAACCTCAATTGTAAACCCTCCCCTGTTCGTGACTCCGTGTGTAACTCTATATGTAATCTCAATGTGTAAACCCATCCGTAACCCCGTCTGTAACCGCATGTGTAACTGCATGTGTATCCGCATGTGAAACTGCATGTGTATCCGCATGTGTATCCGCATGTGTAACCACAGGTGAACCTGATGGGCGGGTCAATAGCCGTGGTGGACAAGGATGTGCAGCTTTTGGGAATTCTCAGTAGCACAGCCTCATGTGTATCCCCAATTGAGTTTTGAGTCGACTCAAAACTCGCCTTATCACACACAGCTTTTGGGAATTCTCAGTAGCACAGCCTCATGTGTATCCCCAATTGTCAACCTGTCCCTGTTTGTAACCCCATTCATAAACCAGTCCCCGTGTGTGACCCCGTGTGTAACAACAGGTGAACCTGATGGGCGGGTCAATAGCCGTGGTGGACAAGGATGGGCAGGGGGCCCGATTCCGCTTCGACATGCGGTTTGAAGCGGTGGAGGGCGGTGGAGGGTGGCACAACAGCATGCTGCAGCCCGAGCTGCTGCTGCCCAAGTTGACTGCCGTGGAGGGCGGGCAGGTGGGGAGGAGAGGAGGGGGTGGAGGGAGGGTAGGTGGGCAAGAGGGGGGGTTGTGGTGGACGGTGGGTAGGTGGGAACTGGGGGGTTGGAGGGGAGGGTAGGTAAGGAGAGGGGAGTGGAGGGAGGGGGGAAACTGGAGGCAGGTGAGGTTGATGGTGTTGAGGAAAATGTTTGGGAATTCTCGAACAACTGTCTCAACAGCTTGTGCTTGATAGTGTTCTCCCTCTCTCACTTCCCTTTCCATTCCCGCCCCTCCTGGATGGAGCGGCGGAAGGTCAAGGTGTGAAGTGAGGTGAATGCAGCCTGCCAGTGCCAGATAATCTCCCTTCCACTTTCCCTACTTCCCCTCACTCCCCTACGTCCCTCCTCAGGTCCTGCTAGCGATGAAGGAGGACAGTGCTGGTGCAGCCATAGCCACAGGCTGGATGGGGCGGAGCAAGGTCAAGGTGTGGCGCTCACTCTGCCTGCATGCCTTCCCGCCCATCAGGTGTGATTGAACAAGTGTTTTGAGACGTCTCAAAACACTTCTTCAATCACGTCGCTCACTCTGCCTGCATGCCTTCCCGCCCATCAGGTGTGATTGAACAAGTGTTTTGAGACGTCTCAAAACACTTCTTCAATCACGTCGCTCACTCTGCCTGCATGCCTTCCCGCCCATCAGGTGTGGCGCCCATCAGATCTCGTTCCTCTTCACCTCCCCATCAGGTGCTGCTGGCAATGAAGGAGGACAGCGCCGGCGCCGGGGCGGCCATAGCCACGGCTTGGATGGAAAGGCGCAAGCTCAAGGTGTGGCGCTCAACTGCCTGCCAGTGTGCCTTCTCGTTCCCTCTCCGTTCTCCCCCCCCCCCCCCCACCCGGTCCCCGCTCCCCCCTCCGCTCTCTCTTCACCCCCCCCCCAGGTGCTGCTGGCAATGAAGGAGGACAGCGCCGGGGCGGCCATAGCCACGGCCTGGATGGAGCGGCGGAAGCTCAAGGTATGGCGCGCGCACACGTGGCAGGAGATCATGCCAGCTGTCGCCTCCATACTGATCCAGAAGTCCGCCGCCTCGCAGCCGCCCCGCGCGTCGCGCTCCCTCGTGGGCTTCTCTGCCCCGCTCATGCGCAGCTTCACTGCTCTCAGAGGCGGAGGTGGGGAGAAGGGGGAGAAGGGAGAGAAAGGCGAGAAGGGGGAGAGGGGAGGGGATAAGGGGGAGAGGGGAGGGGAGAAGGGGGAGAGAGGGGAGAGAGGGGGGGTTGTTGCTGCGGGTGGAGCGGTGGGGGGAGGCGGGGTGGGAGGTGGTAGTTTCGGCGCTGGGGGTGGCGGCGGCAGCAGCAGCAACGGTGGTGGTGGTGGCGGTGGGGTTGGGAGTGGTGCGGGTGGGTTCAGTCCGATGGTGGATAAAGCGAGGTCGGCTGTGGGCTGGCGCAGCCCCTCCCCTCGATCCCACGACTCCTTACCAGTACCTGTAGCGCCGTCACCAGCGGCTGTAGCAGCAGCTGTGGCAGCGGCTGTAGCAGCAGTGCCAGGCGGGCCTGGGGGAGGAGCAGGGGGGGGGACAGGTGGGACCTCCCCTAGACCAATCATCCCTGATCAGACCCCCCCCCTGTCAGGGCCTATGCAGGTGCAGCTGGGGCAGGTGGTATCTGAATCAGGCGGACCTGGGCAGGGGCAGGGGCAGGGGCAAGGGCAAGGGCAGAGAGAGGTTTGGAACCGGCTTCCCTCGCCTTCCCATCCTCTGGGCAACGGGCGCATTCTCAGCAGCCCCGGGCGCTGCTTTGGCAGCCCTGCTGCTGCTAGCACTGGCGGAGACAGCGAGGAGGGGGGGGATATTGGGGACGGGGGAGAGGGGGAGGGGGGGGACGGGGGAAAAGAAGGAGGGGAAGGAGGGGGAGGGGGTGGAGTGGGAGTATCAGGGAGAGGGAGGGCGATGGGGATGGGGATGGTGAAGAGTCTGGGCAGCAGCAGCAGCAGGCTGCTGGGGCGTGCTATGAGCACCAAGTCCCGCCGGTCCCTGGAGAAGCACCTCGGCAGCAGCAGCCAAGACGGCTCTGCTGCTGGTTCTGCCTTCACCACCACCCCACCCGCCTCTGCTGATTCTGCTCCTGCTGCTGGTGCTGCTGCTGCTGCTTCTGCTGCTGCTGCTGCTCCAAACGGGCTCGCGTCGCTGTCCTTTGATGGAACGGTGGGCAGGGAGCAGCAGAGCATGGGTGGGCTGTTAGCCCATGGGGGCATCGGCTCCCGGTCGCTCGGAGGGGGTTTGCTTGGAGGGAGTTACGGGCCGGGGGGTGTGGGCTCAGACAAAGATGGGTCAATTGCTGCTGCTGCTGCCGCCGCTGTTGCTGCTGTTGAATCAGAGGGTGGTGCTGGTGCTGGTGCTGGTGCTGGTGGCGCTGGTGCTGCTGCTGCTCCTGCTGCTGCCTCAGCTTCTGTTCGTGGATCCTTCCTCTCTGCTGCATCCCCCTCACGGGTCGTCCCGGCGTCCCCTTCCCGGCTCATCCCAGCCTCCCCGCCTTCAGCAGCCCAAGCATCCTCCTCCTCCTCTGCCTCCTCCTCTACAGCCCGGCCAGCATCGAAGCTGATGCTGGCGGTGATAGACGTGTCAATTGTTCCTAATGTGCACCAATTTATAGCAGAGGAGCTTCACATCTTCCGTGCTCGCCTGCAGCACCAGGGGTTTGTCATCGCGTGGCTTGTGGAGCACAACACCTCGGCTGACACCAGGAGGGCGCTTAGGAGGTAAGAGTTGTCGGACAGACGGTAGGTTCCGAGAGGAGAGGGGGCCCGCGTGCGTGCAAGTGAAGAATGTGATAGTGGTGAGTGGTGGTAAGCACTTGTTGTTGTCAATAAGCGGGGCAGGCAGGCGATAGCCTGAGAAAGCGTGCCGAGCCGCACTCAAGCTCATGTTTCTCCCCCCACCCATGAGAAACATGAGAAAGTGTGCAGTGCAGTGGCGTCCAAACCCTCGTGAAACTGTTTATGCTTCATGCATTTCCCCTCTACTGACCCTCGTGACCCCTCATCCCCCTCATCCCCCTCATCCCCCTCATCCCCCTCATCCCCCTCATCCCCCTCATCCCCCTTATCCCCCTCATCCCCCTTCTTGCCCCTCCTGCACCCCCTTCCCTTCCCCCCCATGCGCACGTCAGGGTGTGCGGTGCCATTCAAGCCGCTCTATGCGTCGCGCATGGCCCCTTCCCTTGCCCTTGCAACAGCCAGGAGCAGCGTGCCACACTCAAGCTCTCAGATTGACATGCGTCATGCTCACCCTTTTATCCCCTTCCTCCCCTCTCCCCTCCCTCCCATCCCCCCACTCGCAGGTCGGGGTGTGCAGTGGCTTCCAAGCCGCTCTATGCTTCCCGAATGGCGCCTCTGCTCGCCCTGGCCACGGCCAGAAACAGCGTTCCGCACTCGAGCTCGCAGATTGACATGCCGCGCACGGTGGGGGGGAGGGGCGGACGAGGGGGAGAGGGGGGAGGAGGTGACGGGGGCGGAGTGGGTGGGTCGCAGTGGCACCACGGGGAGGCAAACGAGCAGGTGAGAGTATAGTGGTTTTGGTTTCTCTGGGCAGCGCTGTTGCTGGCTAGTTCTTGTTGGCTAGAGGTTTGGTTTCTCTGCTCGCCCTGGCCACGGCCAGGACCAGCGTGCCGCACTCGAGCTCGCAGGCAGATCGATATGCCGCGCACGTTTGGGGGGAGGGGAGGACGAGGGGGAGACGGGGGAGGGGGAGGTGAAGGGGGGGAGTTGGAGGTTTGCAGTGCCATCATGGGGAGGCAAACGAGCAGGTGAGAGATCAGTGGTTCTGGTTTCTCTGGTCAGCGCTGTTTGCTACCCATCCTCTGCTCGCTGCTGGTTTCTCTGCTCGCCCTGGCAACGGCCAGGAGCACCGTGCCTCACTCAAGCTCGCAGATTGACATGCCGCGCACTGTGGTTGTTAGGGGCCGGGGGGGGGGGGGGGGGGGGGGGGGGGAGGGGAAGGGGACGGAGTGGGGGGGTTGCAGTGGCATCATGGGGAGGGGAACGAGCACTCGCCCCTTCTGTTGTCCGTTGCTAGTGCCGCTGCCACTCCCTCTCACTCTCCTTCCTCCATCTTTTCCCCCATTCCCTCCTTCCCTCTCCCTCCCCATCGCGTCCTTCCTCCTTCTCTTCCTCCATTCTCCCCCCCACCACACCAGGCATGGGGGCTGCCAGCGCCAGCGGAGGAGGACGAGTCATCAGACTCCCCAGCAGCGTCCTCCACCGCACTGCGCAACACTGCGGCCGTCTCTGTCCCCTTCTCCCCTTGCCCTCGCCCCTCCTCCTCCACCCCAACTGCCGGTGGTTCTGCCGCTGCTGCTGCTGGTGTTGCCACTGCTGGTGTTGCCACTGGTGGTGTTGCCTCTGCTGGTGTTGCCACTGGTGGTGTTGCCTCTGCTGGTGGTGGTGGTGGTGGTGCGGGGGGAGTGCCTGTGTCTGGCTATCCACCCCCCTCGGGTCGCGGACCTCCTCTCCCCTCCCCCCACGCCGCTGCGGCCGCCTCCCCCCACGGCCTTCCCTCCGGCCGGCCTCCCATTCCATCGCCGGCGAGTGTGGAAGGCACTGGGCCGGCCCCAGCTGAAGCTGCTGCTGCTGCTGCTGCTGCTGGCTCTCCTGCCCTGGGAGCGGCAGCGGCAGCAGCAGGGGGGGCGTTGGAGTCGTCGCCAGGGTCGCGGTCGGGCAGGATGCGTCCGGTCAACAGCGGGCTCAAGAAAGGGGTCAGTGCCTCTCACCCTAAAAGGCTAAAACTCCCTTCACTTCACTCCCTCCCTCCCCTACCTTCTATTAACCCTTTCGCCCCTTCCTTCTAAGCCCCTCCCCGCCTTGTGAGGCGCCTCTATAATCTTGTTCTCAATCCTTGTCACCCCCTCTTCAACCCACCCCACCCCCCACCCCGCCCGTGCCTTGCATTGCATGCACCTCCCCACCCCCTCTCTCTCCCTCCCCTCCCCCCCCCCCCCGCGCGCTCCGCCCCGCCTCCCCTCCCCTCCCGCCAGGCGTCCTTCTCAGAGGGCTCGTTTGACAATGCACTGGCGGGCAAGCGCGTGCTGATCGCGGAAGACACGGCTCTGCTGAGGAAGGTGAGGCGGCAGTAAGTGAGTGAGAGATAATGTGGGCTGCGATTGTCAATGTGCTAGCGGGCGGGTGGGGGCTCGTTTGACAGTGCGCTGGCAGGCAAGCGCGTGCTGATCGCGGAAGACACGGCTCTGCTGCGCAAGGTGAGGCGCTGGTGGGGCAAGTGGTGGTCCGCAAGGTGAGGCAGCACTGAGAGATAATGTGGGATGTGCTAGCAAGCGGGTGGGGACTCGTTTGACAATGCGTTGGCGGGCAAGCGCGTGCTGATTGCTGAAGACACTGCTCTGCTGTGCAAGGTGAGGCGGTGGGAAGGAAGGAGTGTTGCAATGACAAAAGGTGAGGTCGGGGGGGAGGAGTGTTGCAATGACAAAAGGTGAGGTCGGGGGGGAGGAGTGTTGCAATGACAAAAGGTGAGATGGTGGGATATTCTTTGGGCAAGCAGTGTCTTAACGTGGTGGACAATGTGTTACGGGACGGGTGAGGTAGGAAATGTGCTGGCGGTGGGAAGTGGCAGAGGAAAGAGGCATGGGAAAATGTGGCAGAGGGAAGAGGCATGGGAAAATGTGGCAGAGGGAAGAGGCATGGGAAAATGTGGCAGAGGGAAGAGGCATGGGAAAATGTGGCAGAGGGAAGAGGCATGGGAAAATGTGGCAGAGGGAAGAGGCATGGGAAAATGTGGCAGAGTGTGGAAGCTTAAGGAAGCTCCAGAAGAGGCTTAAACATTGTGGTTAATTATGAGTTCGTGGCCGGCCAAGCCTTTCCAGCTACCCTCCCCCTCCACCACCAGGTGGCCATAATCCGGATGCAGAAGCTGGGCTGTGAGGTCGAGGCTGTGTGTAACGGGCAGCAAGGCACTCCTTACTCTCTACCTCCTCGCCTTCACTCCTCTCCCTCCCTGCCATTCCCCCTCAACATTGAACAACCAGGTGGCCATAATCCGGATGCAGAAGCTGGGCTGTGAGGTCGAGGCGGTGTGTGACAGGCAGCAAGCCAGTTTCCACCACCACCATTCCCCTTCACCCCCGCCCCACCCCACCCCACCCCACCCCACCCCACCCCAACTCACCCCACCCCACTCACCACCCCACCAGGTGGCCATTATTCGAATGCAGAAGCTGGGCTGTGAAGTCGAGGCGGTGTGACGGGCAGCAAGCCAATGCCCATCACCACCATTCCCCTTCACCCCCACCCCATCCCACCCCACCCCAACCCACCCCAACCCACCCCACCCCACCCCACCCCACTCACCACCCCACCAGGTGGCCATAATCCGGATGCAAAAGCTCGGCTGCGACGTGGAGGCGGTGTGTGACGGACAGCAGGCAGTGGACGCAGTGTTGGCAACCTACGCCAGCAATACGGGGCGGTTCGATGCGGTGCTCATGGATTGCCAGGTGTGTGCATTTGCCACAACGGGTTGGGGGGTATTCATGCATGTGGACCACATACCCGAAACCCTAAACCTGAAGCCTATAACTTCCGCTCTTCCTCGTCTACCCCCTCCCTCTGCTCTCTATTTGTTCCCCCCCCCCCCCTCCCCTCTCCCCTCCCCATTCCATACCCCATGCGTCTGTGTTGAACGGTTACAGACGTCATCAAAGCAGGCAAATCAGGCAACAGGAGGTTATTTATGTCTCAAGATTGTCCGCATCTCCTTCCCTACTCCCCCATCCCTCTCGCTCCCATCCCTCAGATGCCTGTGCTGGACGGATACGGAGCAACAGCAGCCATCAGAGCAGGCGAGGCGGGGACGCCCTTCCACACGCCCATAGTGGCGCTCACAGCCCACGCCATGACCAGCGACCACCGCAAGTGCCTCGACGCGGGCATGGATGCTTATCTTACCAAGCCTATCGACCCTGCTCTCATGTCCCGCACGCTGCTGGGCCTCATGGCAAAACACCCTGTAGCTGCTGCTCCTCCTCGTCCTGCTACTGCTGACTCCTGAATCCCGGGGTGCACGCACCCCACATGAGAGCGACCACAGCACACGCCACCCACCGCAAGTGCCTGGGGCGGGCATGGACACTTACCATACCAAGCGCATACATCCCTTTGATCCCGCCCTCATGTCCCGCACTCTGCTTGACCTAATGACCGAATACCCCGCAGCTGCTGCTGCTCCTCCTGCTGCTGTTCCTTCTCTTGCTGCTGCTGCTGCTGCTGCTGCTGCTGCTGCTGCTGCTGCTGCTGCTGCTGCTGCTGCTGCTGCTGCTGCTGCTGCTGCTGCTGCTGCTGCTGCTGCTGCTGCTGCTGCTGCTGCTGCTGCTGCTGCTGCTGCTGCTGCTGCTGCTGCTGCTGCTGCTGCTGCTGCTGCTGCTGCTGCTGCTGATTCCTGAATGTCTGGGAGCAGGCAGGCATGACTGAAGCATGTCCGTCTGGGCAGTGAGCCGCTGCAACTCCTCACCATCTGCATCATATGGTACCGGTATGTGTCTTGCTCTTCCCGCCAGGTTACTGCTTGCTCTTCTCGCTTGTTCAATGCACCAAGACTTTATAATAATGCGACCAAGTATTGATATGTGTTGCCGGACTGGACTGCGCCTCCAAAAGCCTACGTATCGTGTATTTATTTGTTCTTGCTTTTGAATACCTTTCGTTCTTGAGGCGCCTCAAGAGGGGAGCACAGTATATCCCTGCATCAGTTCAACCCCGCCTTGGTTGAACCTTTCTTAACGACTGTTTATCTCGACAAGAGTCGAGCGGCTGGGTGTGTATCTGTCTCTTTGAAAAATGGCCCGGCCATGTTTGTTCTAACCCTCTACTCAGGTGTCCGTGGTGTTTTTTTATGTCTTCAATTCAATACCCATGCTTCCCTCCTCCCACCTGTTCACTACTGGGTAGTTAGGTCAGCAGAAGTTTCTCAGTGTGCATTCCTTAGCAACACAAGATAACTTCTGAGTCAACTCAAAAAAGTCTTCCCTCCTTGCTGTGCACTACTGGGTACCTAGAGTGATCAACAGCAATACCTAGAGTGAGCAGCATTGACATGTATTTATTTATAAATAAAAAGCATGGGCTTATTGTATGACGTGACGTGTACATAAAAACGATGTACACTAACAATTGCCTTGCACGTGCAATCCAAGGTAAGAGCATGCATGATATAACCCTATTCTTCTCAAAATTGGGCACTAGTTTCCTTCCGGAAAGTTTGCTGCTGCTTGCAGCAGCATCTTATTGTGCTTGTGGGGATATCAGCTGGCCAAAAATGTAGCCCCCCTCTTGTTAGCTCCACAGGAGCCTATATCCGAAGAGCCTCAGAGACAGACTGTCAGCATCTCTCATTGTGTTGGTGGGGATATCAGTTGCCCAAAAATGTAGACCCCCTCTTGCTCCTCCCGGTCACCCTCCTTGCCTCCCCCATCCCCACCCTCGGAACCATGCTCTGCTTGCACGGCTTGGCCGCTCCTCCCTTGTAGTGTATGTGTGTCAGCCCCAGCCCCAAAAGTAGTGACGTCACTGCTCCTCCGTTGTAGCATGCGTGCGTCAGCCCCACCAGGGAAAGGAGTGGCTGTGGCGGCTGCCATCCCCCTGCCTGCCATGTCTCCTGCAGTGGCAGCTCCAGGCGGCAGTAGCACAGCTGCTGCTTGTCCCTCAAGCCCAGCCCATGCAGCAGCTGGAAAGGGAATGGCTGTAGCGGCTGCTATTCCACCACCTGCCGTGTCTCCTGCAGTGCCAGCGCCAAATGGCTGCAGCGCAGCTGTGTTTGGGCCAAGGCCGGGCAGCCCTCCAGGTGCAAAAGGAGCGGCTGTAGCGGCTGCCATGTTTCCCGCAGTGCCGGCTCCAGCCGGCTGTAGCGCAGCTGTGTGTGACCCAAGCAAACCCAACGCAGAAGCGTCCAGGAAGGGAGGGAATGCTCGGAGGAGGTCCAAGTGCTGGCCTGCCTGCAGGGCGCTCAGGTGCATGTGTGCGACCAGAGCGGGTGGGAAGACTTGGTGGGTGGAGAACGGCAGTGGGTCGAGGGGGAATCCAGAGGCGGCAGGATTAGTTGGCGGCACAGCAGCAGCAGAAAGAGTAGCAGGAGAAGCAGCAGGAACAGCAGCGGCAACAGCAGCGGTGGCGGCGGCGGCGGCAGCAGCAGCATCATGGATTGAAGCAGCAGCAACAGGAGCATGCGCAGCAGCGGCAGAATCATGGATGGAAGGGGCAGCAGCCATGGGTCCCGGTCCACGGTCCAGCATGTGATCCACCATCAGTGTCTGAGCCCATGAACTGGCGGCAGGGGCAGGAGCATCATGGACCGAAGGAGCAGCTGCAGGAACATGAGCAACAGCAGGGGCATCATGGATAAGAGGGGCAGCAGCAATGGGTCTCAGTCCACGGCCCAGCATGTGATCCACCACCAGTGTCTGAGCCCATGCACTGCGGGGCACCACCATGCGACTGCTGTCCGACGCCACTCGCAGCACTGGCAAACTCTCGACAGTCATCCCCTTGTCATCGCCATTGCTATTGCCGTCACCGCTGTTGTTGCCGACCATAGAAACCACTCCTCCAGCCTCTGCTCCGGCCGAACCTGCTCCAGCCGAGCCTGCGCCTGCCGCCACCGCTGTTCCGGCCGAACCTGCTCGGGCTCCTGCACCTGCACCTGCTCCGGCCGAAGCTGCTCCCGTCCCAGCAACAGATGGGCTGGGTCGCCTTGCTGGATAGCCTGCAAGGCTCGCCGAACCTATAGGCTCGGTACCGTAGGTACCAGGCCTGGCCCCAGGCACACTGGAAGACGCAGGGAAGAGGCTTGCTCCAAAGCTGGGGGACGAGGCTGGGGAAAAGGGTGATGGTGCTCCCTCGTTGCTGCGAAGAGGGGGGGCTGTGTGCGCCCGAGAGAGAGCATGGAAAGGTGGTTCTTCTGCTGCTGGTGCTGCTGTGGATACGGCAGCTGCCATGATTGAGGAGAGGAGGGAGAAGTTGGGGAGAGCTATGCTCGCTGCTGCCGCTGCTCGGGCCAGGGAGTTGGGTCGGGATTGGGGCAGTGGGTGACGCTCAGTGGCTGCTGCGGTAGTAGCAGTAGGAGTCGCAGCAAAACGAGCAGGAGTGGCAGTGGCAGTAGCAGGAGGAGTACTAGCAGTGGCAACAGGAGTGGTAACGCTGGTGCTTCTACGGACCTTGAGGGAACCAAGAGCTCCACTGATTGTTCTCAAGCGGGTAGCAGAAGCATCTGCTGCTGCTGCCGCTGCTGCTGCTGCTGCCGCTGCTGCTGCACCTCCTGTTGCTGCTGCATGTGATGCTGATAGGTGTTGCTGACTAATGCTTGTGTTCTCTGCTGCTGCCGTCGCTCCTTCTGCTCCTAATGCTGCTGCTGCCTCGCACAGACTTTGATTCAAGGGCTCGGACCCGGGCCTTCCAAACCTCCCAGTCCAAGCCTGGGGCCAACCAAACCTCTGAGTCTCAGCCTCGGACCCAAACCTTGGGGTCCGAGCCTCGGACTCAGGATGTGCAAAGCGCTGAGCCACTGTTGCCATCCCTCGTTGCCTCATAATGGCTTCAGCTATCGCTGCTGCATCCAAACCACCGGCACCACCAGCACCAGCAGCAGCAGCAGCAGCAGCAGTATTGGTGGTGGCAGCAGCAGTGGCAGTGGTGGCAGTAGCGGGGCCGCTGGTGGTGTGAATCTGCATCTCCCTTGGTAACTGCGCATTCATTTCAAAAGCCATTCGACTTTCGCGACTGGGCGAAGGCAGACGTCTGATCAAGTCCGAAAGCTGAGACGACGCCTGCCCTACCCCTTTCCACCCGCCGCTGGCCGCGGCGGCGGCTGATGCGGCGGCCCGGCGGCTCCCATGGGCAGTGTCGGCTGTGGATGCAGCGGGACCACTCGCGTCGACGCGTCGTCTCTTGGTTGGACTCGCGCGGCTCGTCTTCTTCGCTGGGCTTGAGTTGATGTCGATGCATCCTCGCGTCGCCACAATTTCCGGCGATGATCGTTTCTTCCTGGATTTCGATCTGACCAGGGAATCGCACGGTACTACCGTTGATTAGTAATCATCAATGTGAGGAGGGTTTTCCGTTGGTATCGGAGTTAAAAAAAGCACGGCGGAATTTTGAACGGCGGTCGCCTAAAACGCGTCTCGTTGATGATTTCGACATCAAATTGCGCTGACAATCGTCGTGGCTGCGCGGAAACTTACGATGTTGATGATGAAACGCGACGCGAGGGCTCCGAATGTCTTCGACTGAATTTCACGTCGCCGTCGTCTTTGCGGTTGCCTTCGCTGTCGCGCTCTGATTTTACTAGTCCCTTGCGGTCGCCCGGCGGCGACGGGTGCGACGGCTTCACGCGAAGCTCTCCGAAAGGCTCTTTCAATTGCTGGGGACGGTTTAGCCCAGCGGCGCTAGAAAGATCAACAGACGAGCGCTGCTCGTCGCAGGAGCTATTTCCGCCGCCGCCGCGGCCGTCGCGGTGGAGCATTCTCAACAATTCCGTCTGGATAAGCTCGTCCACTAAGCGTCGACGATCTCGACTTGGACTCGAATTCGAGATTAGTCTGGTTGTTGCTGAGCTGGGCTTGCTCATACTACACGTATCGACAGCTAGGACTTATCCACAGCAATAAACACGCTTGAATCGCGGGTGCAAATAAGGGATGTGAGAGACGAGGATACGCAAATCTGCTGAGAGCTGGAAGAGGTAAGTCGAAGCCTGATTATGTTGCCTGAAACACGCTGTGCCTGCCAGGATGAGAGGCGTTTGTGTGAAAAGCGTGGACTGGAGGTTTGGATGGGTGGAAGTGGAGATGCCGAACAAGGGCCCTTGATTTTGGGTATTTCACCCTCAGTCAAGCCATGATTATGGACTTTTGCTGGGCACTAATTGCCGAGATTGTTTTCGCAAGTTCTGGTAGTTTTAAAAACCCAAAACTTAACTAATGTTTGTATTAAATCACCCGAGCGTCCTCAAGGTAGTGTCTTACAATGCATGTTTGCGAAGCAGAGTGCTATTCGTGTGTAGAAAGAAAGATTTCCGAACAGATAAATACTTTCATACTCCACCTCCTCCATACCCAGAATTACACAAATTGACTCTTCTGTGCTTTGCCATGTGGATATTGGTATCCGATTTCATCAAATCCATTGCGACCATTCTGCCATGATACACTTGTGCTTTGCTGAGAGTTGAGCAGAAACGACTGAGGCCGTGTCGTGTCTGGTGAGGAAATCCGATTGCGATTTGTAGGCATCATCTGCGCTCCGCAATTTCCAAAAAATAGCTCGCGACACGGATTTCCAGTCAGTTTTCTGGTTGCGGAAGGGTGTGTGCACAAAAAAATAAGTGCAACATTTTTCAAGTGCAGTGCAGTTTGCGGCCTGATATAGCTACCGTGTCCCCCAAACATTGGCCAAGCGTCAGGACAGTCGCGTGGAACTGGCTATGCTGGGAGCCACGTCACATATTAGCAGCTGCAGCAGCGCCAGGGCATTGCTTCTCAACCAACAGCTTCCCACTTCGCTCCCAGTTCGGATCGGACTCTCAATCAACAAAAGCAGTCTCCTCCACCACCCAACCCCCCCCAGCATACGTGCAAACTCGAACATCTTGTGCACGCAAGCTCGTTGGTGTGTTGGGGTGTGATCACCACCACACCAGCAGCTGTTGGAAGGGGCACTGTACGCTCCCTCAGTTCCTTTCCGTAGCATAGCAAGCAACTGTAGTCTGAACTGTTTTCAGTGTTTCGTAGGAAGTTTTCGGGGCTACTGTACTAGCCCGCATGATTCTAAGTCAAGGTTATTTCTCCGGTACTCCATGTGCTTCAAAGAGCACCAGGGGAACGCAGTACAGTGGTTGAAGTGAGTGAGGGGAATGCAGTACGTGTACCATGCAGTGAGTGATTGAGTGGAAGTACACATGTGGTTGAATGTTTTCCTCGATTTCGGGTCCGTTTCGTTCTTCCTCCCCTGACAAATTCAAGATGCCAGCAACAAGTCTCGTCACAAACGACACAAACGACTTGTGGACTTCATCGATCAAAACAAGTGAGACCACATGATGATGGAGGACTTTCTCGTTGCAAAAAGCTGCAAGAGGTGTCCTTGTATGTTTCCGTAAAGCCAAGCAGCTTTCCCTGATGGACAAGCTGGCCACGAGAATGCATCAAATCCTGCAGTACAACTGGCTGTTTGAAAGGCAGAAACTGAAAATCGGTTTGGAGTGTAGAGAAAATGTCCAACACTGCAAACTGTACATTTGAACTGTAAAGCACTGTGTACGAGTTTCTTCAGCTGCCCGATATCGTCCAGAATGCTGTCACACCGAGTGACGTCATGTGCCAACCGAATGGTATCGGATACGGCTGAGATATCGGTATTGACCAGATTTGTCACGTGCCAAATGGAGTCCGGTTGTAATAGTAGGGCCCACAACCGCGAAGCATCCTGCGCGTGTACTTTCGAGGTTTCGCAAATGAATAATGCCGCAACACCAGCCAGCCATTAGAACACTTATGATACCTTATTACAGCTGGCCAGGCCTTCATATAATGTTGGGTTGCATTATACATCCCATTGTGCTAATGTTTACACCTTTACTGTGTTGCCGTAGCACATGGATTCTTGGTTTGTCACTGGCACTTTTCCCTAAACAATAAATCAATTTTCCACCCACACCCTGGCACACTATTCCCCCCGTACTCATAGTAGCTATACTTTCGAGCATGCATCGATTGCAATGTGTATAGCTTTATCTGAAGAGTTCAGTAGGCACGAGAAAAAATTGCCCGCTCAGTGGCAGGATTCCCTGTAAAGAAGCACGTGGCATCGGACAGCTTTGGCTCAAAGGGGAAGCAACGCAGGGTCGCTCCAGTCTCCTCCTTCACCCGCTGCTCATCCTCGTTACTGCCGCATGCAATACAGGAAACAGAAACAGAAAAAGGGGTTTTTAAGGTGCCACAAAAGCAGCGCATGGTGGCTCCTGCCGCATCCTTCACTCGATGCTCAACCTTGGTGCTGCAAAGGGCAATACAGGCCACATACACAGCGGAGGTTCCTTACATCCACATGACATTGAGCATGCACAGAGTCTGCCAGCACCCCACCCCACCCCACCCCTCCCCATCGCTCTCACCTGCCGGCCCAGGGCCCACGTGCCCACTTGCTGCTGGCAATGGCTTCTTTCAATTCCTCATAGGATGTCACATCCACGATATGACTATCCCTAAACGCCACTGCATCTGCCAACATGCCATCCTGCACCTCTTGCAGCAGCGCCTGCACATGAGACACCAGCTCCCGCCCGTCGCCGCCCATCGACACCCCGAACTTCTTCCCCTGCTTTCCTGGACGGTCGCGCCTCGCTGTCACGACCGTATTGGCCGCCACGTCGCGCGGGCCAATCTCAATGCGCACAGGAACGCCCTGAGCGGAAGGAGATGGGGGAGAAGGAGGGGAAGGGGGAGAAGGGGGGGAAGGGGTTGCAGAGGACGGAGAGAGGTTACAAGGGAGGGATGCAGCGCCTCGCTGTCACGACCGTATTGGCCGCCACGTCTCGGCAGCTAATCTCGATGTGCACAGGAATTCCCTGAGGGAAGGAGATGGGGGAGAAAGGGGGAAAGGGGGTGTAGAGGACGGAGAGAGGTTACAAGGGAGGGATGCAGCGCCTCGCTGTCACGTCTCGGCGGCCAATCTCGATGTGCACAGGAATTCCCTGAGGACTGGAGATAGGGGAGAGGGGGAAGGGACAGTGAAAAGGAGAAGGGTGAGGTTAGAATGGTGAAATGCACCGGCTCGGCCGTCAATACCGTATTGGAAGGAGTGCACTGCTCTGCCTTATCAAGCTTCACATCACACAATCATTGCAATGTGAATCCACACTACTAGCACCAAGGGTTCGCTACCCTCAAAATCTCACTTTCAGGCCAGCAGCCCACCTTCATCTCCCAGAAGTTGAACTTGAACCCAGGCGTGCGCTGCTCCGACTTATCCAGTTTCACTCGCACCCCCGCCGCTCGCAGTATTCCCTCAGCCCGCCCTGCTGCCTCCAGCACCACCTCTTTCTCCCCCTCGGCCTTCCAGATCGGCACTATCACCACCTGCAGCACAGTGGATGTTGAATAGGATGATGAGAGACACACAGCGGGGCAAGGAAGGAAGTTAGAGTATCCCCCTTGCTGCCTCCAGCACAGCTTCTTTCTCGCCCTCGGCCTTCCAGATCGGCACTATCACCACCTGCAGCACGGGGGGGAAGAGCGGGTGGGGGGGAGGTGAGAGGGGGGGGGGAGGGAGAGGAGGTGGGAGGGATGGGGAGGGGAAGGGGGATGAAAGACACACACAGTGGGGCGGGGAAGGGGGTCGCAGCATCCACTCCCCAGCTCTTCTCGAGCGCACTCTCACCCACCCATATGCTAAAAAGTGTTGTTTTGAGACGTCTCAAAACAACACTTTTTATCGCGTAGCTCTCTTAGAGCGCACTCTCTCACGCACCCATGTGCCATGCACTGCATGCATGCAGCAGTGTACTTGGCGCAGCACACTCACCTGAACAGGAGCCAGGTTGGGAGGCAGTTTGAGCCCCATGTCATCCCCATGCCCCATGATCACTGCCCCCACCATGCGCGTGCTCACTCCCCTGCACCTCCCTTCCAGCACAGTCACTTGAACATTTGGGGCAACACACTCACCTAAACAGGGGAGGCAACACACTCACCTAAACAGGGGAGGCAACACACTCACCTGAACAGGCGCCAGATTAGGAGGCAGTTTGAGCCCCATGTCATCCCCATGCCCCATGATCACCGCCCCCACCATGCGCGTGCTCACTCCCCAACTCGTCTGCCACACGTACTGCTGCTCCCCTGTCTCTGCCAGGTACTGGCGGAGGGGAGAGATGGGAGGGGAGGGGAGGGGAGGGGAGGGGAGGGGAGGGGAGGGGAGGGGAGGGGAGGGCACGTCAAAACGTGGTGGTGTATGTCATGTCGGGCGCCCACCTCCCCCCTCCCCTCCCCAATCCCCTCCTCCATCCCCTCACCCATCACTTCACCCATTCTCTCATCCAATCCAACACCTCCCACATCCTCTCCCTCATTCCCCCTCACCTCCCCTCGTGTAAAGGGTGAGTTTTTTAGACGTCTCAAAAATTCACTCTTTACACGTGCCTCCATCCCCTCACCCATCACTGCACCCATTCTCTCATCCAACACCTCCCACATCCTCTCCCTCATTCCCCCTCACCTCCCCTCTCCCCCCCCCCCCCCTTTACCTTGCTGCCAAACGCCTTGGCAAAGTTTTGCCCAAGGAAGTGGCTTGTCCCGGCCTGCAGTGCCCTTCTATTCCCCACCATGGCTTCAATCGTGTACGTCGTCTCAGCGCCGGCAAATGTCTCGTTGGGCGACTTGTGCCCCACTGTCACATCACTCCCCCCTCAATCCCCCCTCCCCATCGCTTTTGAGACGTCTCAAAAGTGGCCCACTATCACTCCCCCTTCCATCCCCCCTCCCCATCCCCTGGATCGTCCTGACTCATAATTCGAAGGGCGTCAGGGAATTATGAGTCAGGACGACCCCTCAAGCCCCCCTCCCCATCCCCTCCCCTCTCCCTTCCCCCTTCCCATCGCTTTTTACCTTGCTGCCAAACGCCTTGGCAAAGTTTTGCCCGAGGAAGTGGCTGGTCCCGGCCTGCAGCGCTCTCCTATCCCCCGCCATAGCTTCAATCGTATACGTGGTCTCGGCACCGGCAAACGTTTCGTTGGGCGACTTGCGGCCCACTATCACTGGCACTGCCGCCTGCTCCCATGCAAACTGACGATACACCTCCACCATGCGCAGAGCCTGGGGGGATGAACGGGGAGGGAGGGAGGGAGGGAGGGAGGGAGGGAGGGAGGGAGGGAGGGAGGGAGGGAGGGAGGGAGGGGATTGTGACGGCATTGCTGCCTACTCCCTCCCATGCAAACTGGCAATACACCTTGAGGCAGTTTGCTGCTGCCTTGAGAACACCCACCGCTGCTCCCTTGTAAGCCCCCAGTAAACCTCGCTCCCTCCCTCACTCCCTCGCTCCCTCCCTCTCTCACTCCCTTGCTCCCTCTGTCACTCACTCCCTTGCTCCCTCCCTCACTCACTCACTCGCTCACTCACTCACTCACCTATTCCTCCGCCTCCTCTCTGCTAGCATAGCATGTGCAGTGTGCCCCTTCCGCCACAGGAACTCCAGAGTGCGCACAAACAGCTGTTATACCCCTCCTTCATTCACTCTTTTCCCCTTTTCCTCCCTCCCTCACCTCTTCCTCAGCCTCCTCCCTGCTAGCATGGCATGGGCAGTGTGCCCCTTCCGCCACAGGAACTCCAGAGTGCGCACAAACAGCTGTTATACCCCTCCTTCATTCACTCTTTTCCCCTTTTCCTCCTCCCTCACCTCTTCCTCAGCCTCCTCCCTGCTAGCATGGCATGGGCAGTGTGCCCCTTCCGCCACAGGAACTCCAGAGTGCGCACAAACAGCTGTTATACCCCTCCTTCATTCACTCTTTTCCCCTTTTCCTCCTCCCTCACCTCTTCCTCAGCCTCCTCCCTGCTAGCATGGCATGGGCAGTGTGCCCCTTCCGCCACAGGAACTCCAGAGTGCGCACAAACAGCTGTTATACCCCTCCTTCATTCACTCTTTTCCCCTTTTCCTCCCTCCCTCACCTCTTCCTCAGCCTCCTCCCTGCTAGCATGGCATGGGCAGTGTGCCCCTTCCGCCACAGGAACTCCAGAGTGCGCACAAACAGCTGTTATACCCCTCCTTCATTCACTCTTTTCCCCTTTTCCTCCTCCCTCACCTCTTCCTCAGCCTCCTCCCTGCTAGCATGGCATGGGCAGTGTGCCCCTTCCGCCACAGGAACTCCAGAGTGCGCACAAACAGCTGTTATACCCCTCCTTCATTCACTCTTTTCCCCTTTTCCTCCCTCCCTCACCTCTTCCTCAGCCTCCTCCCTGCTAGCATGGCATGGGCAGTGTGCCCCTTCCGCCACAGGAACTCCAGAGTGCGCACAAACAGCTGTTATACCCCTCCTTCATTCACTCTTTTCCCCTTTTCCTCCCTCCCTCACCTCTTCCTCAGCCTCCTCTCTGCTAGCATAGCATGTGCCGTGTGCCCCTTCCGCCACAGGAACTCCAGAGTGCCCTCTCACCTCCTCTTCTGCCTCCTCCCTACTAGCATGCGCCGTGTGCCCCTCCTGCCACAGGAACTCCAGAGAGCGCACAAACCCATAGACCCCCTGCTTGCTGCTTGTTCCCTCTTGCTCTCACCTCCTCTTCTGCCTCCTCCCTACTAGAATGCGCCGTGTGCCCCTCCTGCCACAGGAACTCCAGAGTGCGCACAAACGGCCGCGTGCTCATCTCCCACCGCGTCACGTTCGCCCACTGGTTGATCAGCAGGGGGAGGTCCCTGTAGCTCTGAATCCACTGCGCGAACATGTGATTCACAATCGTTTCACTCGTGGGGCGGACCTGCAATGTGGTGGGAAAAAAATATATATATATATATATATATATATATATATATATATATATTAGCAAGGAGGGTTGATCAGCAGAGGGAGATTCCAATTGCTTTGGATCCACTGTGGGAACATGCATTTCACGATTTTCTTTCTTTCTTTCTTTCTTTCTTTCTTTCTTTCTTTCTTTCGAGTACACGTTTTAAACATCCATGTCCGTAACTCCCCCTTCCTCCCCTGTAAATACCATCAGCCTCTCTTCAAGCCGCTTCCCTCCCCACATCCCTTATCTATTACTTTGTAGTCACTCACAAGTCACACTCACCACCAGTCTCTCTTCAAGCTCCTTCCCTCCGCCTATAGTCACAAGCGCCAGCTCAGGAGAAAAACCCTCCACATGAGACGCCTCTTTTTCGATAAAAGAATATGGGATGAACTGAGGGGAGTGGAGGGAAGGGCGGGGAAGGGGGAAGTGGGAGGGTTGGAGGAAAGGGGAAGCTTCGATGGTTCAACAGGGGACGGGTTCTTGGTGAGAATCCTTGCAAATAGCATGAATTTCAATGGGAGGGGGGTAAGTTTAACAGAACAGCGGGAAGAGAGTGGGAGGGGTGGGGGGTGAGTGGGGGAACAGGCGGGGGAGAGGGGGAGAGATTTCAAAAGATAGAATTTTCAAAAGGATTTCACTCACTCACCTGAGGAAAGTACATGTTCTCGTGCCCCGTCTCCTTGAACTTGCGGTCGAGCCACGACTGAGAGGGGGAGGGAGGGAAGGGGGAGAGGGGAGAAGAGGACGCGCAAGTGGGTGGGAACAGGAAAGGGGTTTGTTTGAGATGTCTCGAAGTACATGTTCTCGTGCCCCGTCACCTTGAACTTGCGGTCCAGACACAACTGTATGCATGAGCAGCAGGAATTGCGGGGATTTTGGAGGGAGAAAAGGGATAGACAGGAAGGGTTTAACGGGAGGCAGTCAGAAGGGGGGGTTAGAAATCAAAGTACATGTTCTCGTGCCCCGTCTCCTCGAACTTGCGGTCGAGCCACGACTGGCAGGGTTTGCGGGGTTATCGAGGGGTTTAGGGGGTGGGAGGGGGGCAGGAGGGGTTTGCTGGCAGGGTTTTGAGGGGGAGACAGGAAGCGGTTGGGGGGGAAACTGGAAGGAACCTGGGGAACAGATAGGCACATTTGTGCATGCGCGCACATGCATCCATGAACGCTCATGAGTGAGTGACCCTGCTCTGCCTCGACCCACGCACCCAATCGTTCTGCTCTGCCTGACTGAACCCACCCGCAACATTAACGCGCATCCACCATGCCACCCCGAGGCCTGCCGCACCTGGATCGACTTCTGAGGCGCCTCAAAAGCCTGGCTGAACCCACAAGGATCGGGCTCAACCCACATGGATGAGGCTGAACCCACATGGATCGGGCTGAACCCACATGGATCGGGCTGAACCCACATGGATCGGGCTGAACCCACATGGATTATGAGGATTATACCTTTACTACTAGTGGATATTCTCTTTGAGCTCTTGTTGCAGATCTAATGTATGTCGGGCTGAACCCACCTGAATCACCTCCCAGATGGCGTAACAGTACGGGCGGATCACCATCGTGCCGCGCACATTCGGAAACACCATAGCGCCAGCCAGGTGGAGTGGATGCTCTAGACCCTACCCCACCGCACGTCGCAGAATTCCACCCAAGCCTGCCTCTCCCAACCCCACCTGGATCGCCTCCCAGATGGCGTAGCCGTACGGGCGGATCACCATCGTGCCGCGCACCGGCCCATAATCCGCCAGCTCAGCCTCGCGAATCACGTCCAGATACCACCGACTGAAATTCTCCGACCGCGACGCGATCTTCGAAGCCTCCGCGGATGCCGCGCCCTTCCCGCCGCCTTTTCCCTGGCCTCCCCCGCCTCCTCCCCCTTTTTTCCCCGCCTTGCCCTTCTTGGCGGAAGGTTCCGGCTCCGCTGCGCTTTCCGCGGTTCGCGTTTCCACTGCGGGATCGGCGGATTCGCAGCGGATGGCGGGGGAGGCGGAATTGGCGGACGATCCGGCGGAAGCGAACCGGTTCCGCCACGCTGGAGGAACAAAAACCGATGGTGACGTGGCACTTAAAGATTGGAGGAAGCCTCCGGCCACGGCGGAAGTGGAGGCGGAGAGAGAGGGGGAGCGGAGGAGCATTGGGCGGACAATGGGCGCGCGGAGACACGACGCCATTGTAACTAATCGCTCGTACTGATTAAGGCGGATAATTGCTAAATGACGGAGAAATCAAATGCCTCGCTTTGATGGTGTTCGCGTCAATCTGGAGAAACTAAACGAATGCGGGAAATACGGAACGCGATGTAACTACGATAGCAAAAAAAGCGTGCGCGCGAGGCGAAACGACGCTGGCAAGTCGCCTCATCACTTCCGCAGGGTAAGGCGGGCTGTCGGAAAGTACAGGACGCTTGGTGCGCTTCGAACGCACAGGACCTGCTGATGGTTCGTTCGCCAATCATTGGCTTGGAATTGCCAGACTGGACTTGAGGTAAGACCTGGCAAGTGCAGGGTAGTGTGATTGGTACGACGAGATTGTGGATTACGCTACGCCACGTCATTGCTAGATGGAATTTGATATGCAACTCTCGACACAGGTACTCGTGCGCTCACCATCAATTTATACAGCCCAAATTCTTCTAGTTTGCCAGCGCCAAAGCACTATCAGCAATTACAAATGGTAGTCACGAGTTCTACACTCTTCAACATTAGTCTCCAGACAGCTTTTTTAGGGCTTCGGGTTTAGGGTTCAGCGCACATAAACAAAAATCCACATCATAGCGTACATCATCTTAATCAATCTGACATCATCATTCTTTTTATGTATAAAACATGAAGTAACTTGACCAACCCTTACAACTGAAGTATTGTTCCCGAATTCTGTCAAGATAGCCCTAGGCTTAGGAGCATAGGGTAGGAGAATGTCGAGGAGAGAAGAGAGAAGAAGGGGGTTTCACTATAGAGAGGGTACAAGGTATAGGCAAGAGTTGGGGGTGCACCACCTACAGAAATTATATAACTACACTAGGCTACTACTACATGCAGTTACAACAATATAACTTTGACATCCCCCCTTAACTGCATGCAGGAATAGCTAAGTGCAAAATACAACCTGCAGGGGTACACCAGGCGCAGCGGAAGCCGGCAGAGAGGAATGAGAGGAGGAGGAGACGAGAGAAGGAGAGAGGAGAGGAGAGGAGTACTAAGGGAGGAGGGAAGAGAGAGAGGGATGAGGAGAGGAGGTGGGGGGCCAGGAGCGGCGGACCCGCTTACGAACCTCCTTTTACAAAGGGGAGTTGGGGAGGAGTGAGGGAAAAGGAGAGAAGGTGGGGGGCCAGAAGCGGCGGACCCTCTTAAAAACCTTCAGAAGGTGGGGGGCCAGGAGCGGCGGACCCTCTTAAGAACCTTCAGAACTCAACTCAACTCAACCACCCCCCTTTAACCTCACTCCCTGAATCTGCCATCCCCTCATTGTTCACCCTCACACTCCTGTCAACTTCACTATCACCACCCCCGCCACCCTCTCATCACCACCCCCGCCACCCCATCATCTCCCCCCCCCCCCCCCACGGCAAAAGCCGCGGAAGGGAAGGAGGGGGGCGGGGTACGGAGCTGATGGCGCGAGTGTCCGCACTGGCGCTGGCGCGGATCGACGGGCAGGGCGACGGGCGGGCAGGGCGCACGGGGCGCGTGCGACAGACAGGGCGATGCGGGGGCGCGACGGACGGGCGACGAAACGGAGGGGGGGGGGGGGGGGGGGGGGGGGGGGGCGCGGGGCGACGAAACGGGGTGCCGCGGGGCGACGAAATGGGGGGGGGGGGGGCACGGGGCGACGGGACGGGCTGCGCGATGGGTGGGCCCATGATACTTAAAAAAAAAAAAAAGGTCCTTAGGAACTTGAAGCTCTGAAACCATGTCAAGATAGCCCTAGGCTTAGGAGCATAGGGTAGGAGAATGTCGAGGAGAGAAGAGAGAAGAAGGGGGTTTCACTATAGAGAGGGTACAAAATATAGGCAAGAGTTGGGGGTGCACCACCTACATAAATTATATAACTACACTAGGCTACTACTGCATGCAGTAACAACAATATAACTTTGACAAATTCCTCCCTTCTGTTACGAATAGTGAAATATGATTGTGCATGTCAAAGTTATGTTAAATATATATCCTGCGTGCTGTAGTTACTGTAGTGATTGTTCTTAACTGATTGATGGTGCACCACTCTGCTCACCTTCCCTTGAACTATATCATGTATCTTGCTCATTAGTGTAAGCCCTCTTCCCGTTTCTCTCGCTCACGCTACCCCAAACCCTAGTCTACTAAGGCTATTTTTCTAACATGGCACAGAGCTATAAACTGTTGGGCTGAGAAAAGCCTTTAGAGGATCTTTGCAGGACTAAACTCTGGTAGGAACAATGTAATAGCGGAAGCGTTTCTTAGTGGGAATTGTTGAACCACCTTGCGCTGGTATGTGAGGGCAAAGTAAGTTGATTAAAGCAAAGAGATACAAGATTATATAAGAGTACAAAGAATATGAAAGGATACAGCTATAACTGTTTTATTGTTGCTGTTGCGGTTCGACACAGTGACGACTCGGGCAACTGCTATGTAACGAGTCAGTTGTGTGTCCTTGCTGTCGCACTGTACTAGTCAGGTCAAAGGTCGCTGACCTTTGACTTTCGCGTAACCTCCAGCGGTTACTTCAACCTCCGGGGGTTGACTCGCCGGTGCTTAGATATGTTTTGCTTCGCTTGTGACTTGGTGTTTCGCCATGACAGAAGCGCTTTAAATCAATTGTTTCCAACACTCCCCTTCGCTTCTGGAGTGTCACTGTTGATGACGTGGTTTTGTCCAGTCAGCATCATGCGATACTCGAATTTCTGCTTTCCGAGCTTTTTGGTCAAGTAGTCAGCTGCCATCTCGGACGTGGGGCAGTATGACAGCTCGAGTCTCCTTCTCGATCTCGTCCTTCACGAAGAAGTATCGCAGGGCGATGTGCTTCGTTCTATTCGCGAAGCCATTTTTGTTGGTTATGCGAATTGCAGATTGGTTGTCGCAGAACAGGGTGAAGCTGGGTAACTGAGCCAGCCTTGCCTCCTCCAGAAGTTCGCGAAGGTACAGTCCTTCCTTGGTGGCTGAGCAGAGTGCGATATATTCTGCTTCAGCTGAGGAGAGGGCGATTAGCTCCTGCTTGCTCGACTGCCAGGAGATAGGTCCGATAGGCTCGAGGCGGTAGACGTAGCCGGTGCGTGAGCGCCTGTTGTCGGCGTCGCCGGCGTGATCGGCGTCGACGTAGCCGATTAGCTTGGGTGTTGTCGTTCCGTTCTTATGGTAGGTCAGACCGATTGTCGGAGTGCCGACGAGGTAGTGAAGAGCGCGGTCGAGTTCCGCCAGATGTTCCGCTTCAGGTTTCTTGAGGTAGGTGGCGAGCTGACTTGCGGAGTACGATAGATCCGGACGGCAGGTGACAGCTGCGAAGAGGAGACATCCTAGTTTCCTCTGGTAATCGCGTATGCCGGCGGCTTTGAGTAGGGCGGAGCCTTCCTTGTGATTTCCTGCTGTGTAGCGGTATGGTGTGGAGATGGTAGTTGGTGTAAGTGCGAATCGTTTGGCGATGGTGTCAGCGTATTTTGCGGCGCAGAGGTAGATTGCGTCCTCTTCATCCTGGATGTTGAGCTCGAGATACTGCGTGACGGTGGATGAGACCGTGAGAGTGAGGTCCTTCTGCAGTTCCCCTTCGAACCAGGATGTGACACTGTCGGTCGAGCCGATATAGAGAAGGTCGTCTACGTAGACGATTAGCAGGATGTAATCGGTGCGTTTCGTGAGCCGGTACATGTCCTGATCGTGCGGTAGCTGCTTGAAACCGATGCGGATGAGGCGAGCGTGCAGGTATTGTTGCCATAACCGCGGGGCTTGCTTAATGCCGTGTAAGGACTTGAGTAGCTGGCAGACGTGGTTGGAGTCCGTGCTGGAGCCATACGGTAGCTCGACGAAGATTTCTGCGTCGACAGGTGCGTAGAGAAATGCGTTTGCGACGTCAGTTTGCCGCAGCTTCTTCTTCTTCATGGCGGCGATCGCGAGGAGAATTCGTAATGACGTGTGTCGGCTGACCGGAGCGAATGTTTCGGTGAAGTCGCGTCCGTGTTCTTGGTCGAAGCCGCGTACGACCCAGCGCGCCTTAAATTTGTCGATGGTGCCGTCTGCCTTTGTCTTCACACGGAAGACCCATTTCCCGGTGAGTATTGTCTTGTTTTGTGCCGTGCTGATGGGAACAATTTTCCAAGTGTTGCGCTCCTCCAGTACTTTCAGTTCCCTGTCCATGGCTTCGCGCCATTTTTCTCTATGCTCCCCCCCAGAGCCTGCTGAACTGTGGCAGGCTCTTTAGGAATCGCCGTGCCGTGAACTGCGGTGACGAGGCCGAGTATCTGAAGTCCACTCTGTGTGTAGCGGGGGAGTGTTGTGTCCTCAGGATAGACTGCTTCGTCTCCCGTTTCTGGATCGGGTATGAAGTTTGGTCCTATGTGTTCTGCTTCGTCGGTGTTGACTTGTGCAGGTGTAACGTAACCTTCGTCGGCGAGGTCGTAGAAGACTTTGGCGTTGACGCTTTCGTGAGGATTGTCGTCATCCATCGGTATGTCCATCCAGCAGTATGGGAGTGGTCCGGCTTCTTCCGAGGCTCCATCCACATTTTGCTCGTCCAAGTTAGCTTCGTCGGCTGCCGAAGCGAAGGCTCGGTCTCCACGAAAACCACTGGTGAGGTCTCGCTGTTCTGTCAAGTTGGCTTGGTAGGAGTCGAGGGTGAGTCGTTCGTAGAAAATGACATCACGTGCTGCCACTGTTTCCTTTATGTGAACGTCGAAAATCTTCCATGCGTTGTAATTTTTTTCGATGCCCAGGTGTAGTCCCCACTGTGCGCGTTGAGAGAATCGGCCGGCTCGTGCAGCTGGGGGTCGGTACTGTACCATGCAGCCGAAGACGCGCAACATTTTTGTGCTGCCCTGTTTTCCTGTCCACAGCAGATGCGGTGATGCGTTGTTCGGGAGCGATGATGACGAGAGCAAGTTGTGCAGCATCACAGCATGGTCTATTGCTTCGGGCCACTGGTGGTTGGGTAGCCGCATGCCACGTAGCAGCTTGCGCATGGTGTTCTGGAGAGTCCTGTTCATCCTTTCTGC